TTATTTCGTACTGTTTACTTCTCGTGTTTAATCATCCTTTCTTATTTATATATTCTCCGTGTTCTTGTTTTTTTTATAAACATTAATTTTATCATTTAAACTCAATTGTATTCCAATATGTCAATGTTTTGTTTCATTCACTGTGCCGATATAAATTGTAACAACTTGATGTATATATTTTACTAGTAGTTACTTTATCTATTACTAACTACATCATTCAATCAGTCAATATCCGATTATGGATGTAAATTCATCGTATTTATGTAATAATTGAGTCGAATTCCAATTCAATCTGTCATTATAAGAGACTTTTAAATGACATGATATGTAATTTAAACAACAGACAAAGGTATCTATACCAGGGTTGGACTTGGTAGTTCCAAATAAGTTAAGCATTGGGTAAAGAGTTACTAATAAACGTTAACTTTTGTTATATTCCAACGAGTAGAAAAATTGTATTACTGACGTTTTATGACCTAATGTAATTACTGTTTAAACTTGGGTTTATTTAGTGTCGGTTATTCATTTACTCTAAAGAAGTGGCTTATATTTAGTCACGAAACGTCACAAATACAATTTTTCTACTCATTGGAATATAACAAAAATATGTTTATTATTAACAGATAAATGTCTCTTAAACTTATTGTTTAACTTCTATCAACTACTTCTGATCTGTATTCTCACATATCGATCCGGATATACTTAGTCTTATATATGAAGAATAAAGCTTAATACCTTCGATACTGTGAAGCTCTAAACATTCAGAAGTTATAGACAAGCCATATAGTTTTGCAGTTACAGAATTTGAGATGCCTTTTTGTATATTTAAAACACTACTCATAAGTAGCTCATGTGATCTGGTTAGATTTCATCAAAGTATACCTGTTAAATTTTGAAAATTACCATTGAAGTTAACTCCTTAATTCAACGATACACCATGGATATTTTATTCCCACTAGTTCAAAATAGATTTTTGTTAAAACTGAGGAGTTAAGTAAAAGTATAAAACTTTTAAATCTGGGGATTCGGTATACAATCACAATTGATTGATCACTGGGTGGTGATCAATGTCATGCTTGTCTAGTCCTTATTAGTGCAGATCGAATGCTATCGATCATGTTACAATGTGGCCACCAGTCTAGGTGACTCGACACTGCGGGCAATATGTATTGAGATTTAGATGGTAGTTGGAGGTAGTCAACAGGAAACCCTGGACCCGGGTTTCGTGCTATTTGGCACTCGTCAGCAAGGTGTACCTGTAATCTTGAGGGAACTGGTGCTCCTCCAACCTCCGTCGGTATACAAATATCCCTCTTATGTACTGACTAAATACTCGGTTTGCAAGGACTTTATATTTTTAAAATTAAAAGTTTATTTGGCTAACTGACTGTTGCAATTTATTTTACAGTTCGTAAATTACAGTGAATTAATAATAAACCTGTTACTCAGCTTTGTATTGATCATTATATGAATTTGATTTAGGCGATAATTTAGACTTTGAAAATGATGAGGAGGAGGATGACGAAGATGATGGGTTTGTACATGAAGACGGTGGTGATGATGTACATGGAACAACTTGACTAACACTAAGTGGCGGCCTGCTTGAGCATCTGGGCTACCTGTTCCTGCCATCTAGATATTTCAACAAGTTATCTATTTTTGTTTGTTTTAATATATCATTATGTCCGTGATTTGCATAACCTATCCTGGTGCATTTCTGAAAAGTGTACAACCTTTCGTTGTCAATGTTACAAAAAGCCCAATAAGAGATAATGTGGTCGCTGGCAATATGCATAAAAAAGAATATACATTATTCAGATGTTCATTTACTGGACTGCTAACATCTAGCTGGCGATCACTCAATATTTATCGTCAGGAACGACCAAGAAGAAAGAAACGGGAACTTGTTGAAATACTTTGTGCTGAGAATTCTATATTGTACCAAAAATATGATATTGAATAAAGCTTATAATAATAAATAAATATTTCACCGTCATCTGGACTAATATATGTAGAACATTTAGTTTGCATGAAGATATTCGAATAAACTGACAAAGGATGAGATGGAAGACAATGAGTTGTTGTTGTTGTTTTTATTGCTGTTGTTATTGTTGTAGTGACTAACTGGTTCAATTTTAGTCAAATGATGATGCTAAGTTGAACTTATGAAACCAAGTGTTATGGCCTTGATGTCTGGCTTTCTACCACGCGACTTATCGACCAGTCAGAATACAACTTATACAATCTTCACACTATGCCAAACCAACGACGTTCAACCGGTATGAACAGTTTAGCGTCCTGATTGGTCCTATGTCCTCCTAGCCCTTCCACTTGAGTCCAGAACACAATACCAGCTTCTGTAATATGAATCGAATCGATTCAGATCAGATCGTTTATTTCAGACATACTCGGTTTATATATCAATCAGACAGACCACAACGTACCATAAAATAGAAAATAACATGTGTACACAAATAAGCCAAAAAGTGGCTGTGAACGAGGGGGACAGTAATTAATAGACTGAGCATAGCTTAAGAATCGTAAATCGTACAATAATAAAATATAGGTCAAAATAAAGCTTATAATAAGGGGAATATAAATACACATGTAATTATTGAATAATTATACAATAAGAATATTTATAGAATATTAGTCTATTAACAGCCCTCGGAAGTTACCTGTAACTTAATCTTCACTGGGTTATAACACCAAGAATAAAATATTCACGTGAACTTGCATTTAATTCAACATACTCTTGCTTTGTATGCATAGAATCATATATGTTTTCTAGTCTGAATAACACGGAATAATGTAAGGTATCTTCCTGATCTTTCAAGCATTCCGATTAGTAGTTTGGAGAATAAGTTCTGTATTATCAAGTCGATCCTTTAGCATATACAGTAGCCACGTTAGTAGGCTTATTGTTAATGGGCATAACCGAAATAAATTCACAACAACAACAATAATAATAATTGATCATATTATTATTAGTGGCTTTATTCAATATTATATTTTTGGTGCAATATAGAACTCTCAGCTCAAAGTATTTCAACAAGTTTCCTTTTCTTATTTCGTGATCGACCATTGTGATGAATATTGAATGGTCGCCAGTTAGATGTTCACAGTTCAGGAATCCACATCTGATTAATGTATATTTTTTCCGATGCATATTGCCAGCAACCACGATATCTCTGATTGGGCTCTTTTGTAACTTGTATAGCGAAATGTCGTAAACTTCTCACAAACGTACTTGAATAGGTTATGCGACTAATAGGCATAATGATGTGTTAAAACACAAGAAAACAGATAACTTGTTGAAATATCTAGATGGCAGGAACAGTTAGCCCAGATATTCAAGCAGGCCTTTCTTAAATATTTAAATGAGTTCAGCTAGTAAATAGCTTATCAAATTATTAAGTCACTTAACTGTTTTAGGACTAAAGTAGCTTCAAGAACTTGGCAAAAGGTACCTATATTTTATCCTCAAGTGGATTCCAAGTGATACCTATCTGGATCAGCGTCCAATTATGGTATGCTCTAAACGGATGACCGTAAATAAGTACAATGAAAAAATGTAAGTAAACAAGATAGTGGTTTACAAAGCCTATAGATATTTGAAGGAATCAGTTTACTATTGTGTACAAATAAAATAATATGGTCATAGTTAGAGCATGTAACTACTTACTAGTAACCAATTATCTTGCTATCTATTCTTTAGTACTGAATGAAATCTAGTCATCAATTTTCAATGATAAGTTGTTGTTTTTCTTGTTAACCATTGACAACATAGAATCTTTTACTACATTAACACTACTAAATGTTTTAACGAATTGGATTGTGGCAGGTTGAACCGATAAATATTTACCTCTGCCTATACATTTTGTTTCTGATCAACTAGTAGACTAATAAATATTTACTAAATTCGATTAATTTTAGCAATAAAAATATACTTAATATAATTAACATAATCGATGAACAAGGAGGAACAAATGCAGATGTAAAGGCGAAGGTTAGCAAAGCAAGGACAGCATTCCTACAATTTAAGAACATATGGAACTCAAAACAACGTTCAACCAATATAAAAGTCAGAATTCTCAATATCAACGTCAAGGTAGTTCTACTGTACGGAACTGAAAATTGGAGAACAATAACCACCATCAAGAAGGCGCAAGTATTTATAAATAGCTGTCTACGCAAGATACTCAACATCCATTGCCCGGATACCATCAGCAACAGCCTTTTGTGGGAGAGAACAAATCAGCTTCCAGCTGAAGAAGAAATTAGGAAAAGATAATGGATAGGACATACATTAGACAAATTATCAAACTGCATCACGAGACAAGTCCTAACTTGGAATCCTGAAGGGAAGCGGAAAAGAGGAAGGCCAAAGAACGCATTACGTTGGAAAATAGAATCAGATATGAAAAGGATGAATAACAACTGGAAGGAGCTGGAAGGGATTGCTGTGGACAGAGTTGGATGTAGAATGCTGGTGAGTGGCCTATGCTCCTTCACGAGGAGTAACAGGCGTAAGTAAGTAAGTTGATATAATTAGGAAGTTATTCGTACTTAAGTATTATTTTTAGTCAACTCCACCTGGAGCCCATCTAGGGTTACTGTCGGTTCTAAGCCCGGATAAAGGAGTTAATGTTTACTCCAGGACTAAAACCTAGTATCGTTCGCTTCAAACGCCATCACGTTTTTCACTTAGCTACTGAGTCCAAGAGTAAACATCAACTGTGAGAAGCAGGTACATTCATATGACGATTCCCAAATAGAATTAAACGTGCTGACTAGATTACACTGCTAGCCACTATCCATTTTTGCATATAATGCTTGTAAATTAAAGCAATATCGAGGCACTACGCACAGTATGCACATATGCCAATAAGACACTGATCAATTACAGTCCTAAAACATCAATAAGGAAGATTCAAACAAACAATACCAAGTGAATTTTCACTTTTACATTGTTTTAAGGAAGGAAAAAACAACAATCGGCTTTATATAACTAAGTATAAACTTATATTTATTTGATATTATGTATAAATTATATGTACAACAACGGGCAATTAAACTAGCTAAAAAATAATACAGCTAGCCTATGTGAAATGAATTAACAAATGGTAATAATAATAAGAAGAATATTATTATTATAGAAAATTGATAAAATATTGATTTTCACGTAGTTTGTGTATTTTCATTATTGTCGATAATGTTGATTGTTGGTTTTAACTTTTGATTCTTTCAACTTGATTTCATACGGGATAGTAATTAGAAGTAGTAAAGGATCAATTAGGGAAGAGGGTAGGGAGGCAATAGAAGAAAGATTATTTAAAAAAAGAAAAGAAAATAAAAACAGTACAGTACAGGGAATTGAATGAATTCTAATGCCTATCACAAATTATCGTTTTAATTGTCCAAATAATACTCCTTGATATAATATATTCCCCATTTCCATTGTAACAACAATAGCATTCTGTGGTAGTCCCATTGGAGCACCTAAAGTTGAGAAAAAATAAGTGATAAAATATATACTATTGAATAACTTTCAAGTAGAAAATATTTCTTGTTGAAAAAAAATCATACTTCCTGAAAAGCTTGATTATGGTAATCACCCAACAGAATAGATTGTATGGCATTGGATGTTCATCACAACTATTCACTGCTTTGCATCATGTTAAAAACGAAATTATTTAAGTGCTTAATGGTATGTATCTTCTTGGTTTCAAAATGAACAAGTTGTTCTTTTATATCATAGTCAACTGAACTTTGAAAATTTAACTATGAAAATCAATTGAGATATGAAAATATTACACAACAATCATAAATTATACTACCCACTTTTAAAAAAGACTTTAGCCAAAGTAATTAATTAATTCCCAACTGGAATTTAAATATTCACTAATTGAACTATTGAATCAAATTAGCAGGCATTATAAATACCATTTGTTTTTATCACTATTCATCTATTCAATTTATTCAGTTAGAATAAATCAAATAGTTTTTATTGATCTTGTTTGTACATGGGAATAAATCTATTCAGTAGTTGAATTCATTAGTTAATTGAGGCTAGACCACCATGGAAAACCTAGAAGCACTAGACAGCAGTTTCGTCCTAGTATGGGACTCCTCAGCAGTGCACATTCACGATCTCGACTCAAGATAGTCGAATCCAGGACCTATCAAACTCGCGCGTGAGCGCATCCAACGGTGTTAATGTATAACTTCAATCAATTCACACAAAAGGACTTCCGTGATTATAATCATCGTATGCTCACTAATGGCGTTCTCCAAGAGGTATTTCCTGGAGTTCTAGTGAGAAGCAGTGACCAGTGAGATAATAACACTGATGACAATGATGGACGGTGGCGCGACTTTATGCATTAGCTGAAGTAGACATGAACGTCGTTCGATGCCGGCTCAGTGGTTTAGAGGTTAAGCGTTCACGTGTGAGACCAACAAGTGCTGGATTTGAATCTCTCGAGGCGGGATCGTGGATGAGCACTGCTTAAGAGTCTCATACTAAGATTGAAGGTCCTGGGTTCGAGTCTCGCGTGGGGGTCGTCGATGCGTGCTGCTGAGGAATCCCAAAATAGGACAAAACGTGCGTCCAGTGCTTCCAGGTTTTCTATGGTGGTCTAGTTTCAATTAACTCATAAATTCAATTATTAAAATTACTATAATATCCACACACACACACACACACAAGAAGAACATAACCGTTCTCCAGATAAAAATCTATTCGTTAAACAGATTTCTTGTTTATTTATTTGTTTCGTTATATCAATTGGTTATCATGTTGTAGATTGTAGATTATAAATGGCTAATGCTTTAAAAAAACAAAACAAATTTTACAATGATCTATCTATCTATATAATGATAAATATTCATTAACAACTACATTTTTAAAGTTATTTATCCTAATAGATAATTGTATTTCTCCATTGTATACTTATAGTTTCATGTAAATGATGAATATAATAATGAATAACAATGCACAATTCATTATTATAAGTTGGTCATTTACATTAACTGTTATTTATTATTTTGCATTGTTCTGTTTAAAATTGTGTGTTTTTTATTTGTATTTTGATTCTTCCGCTCTTTCTTTCTTTTTGTTTATTTTTTTCTTCCTTTAAATCTTATTAATAAATAATAGTAATATTCAATTATATCAATAGTAAAACCATATTTTTTTGTTTTAGTTATTAGTAACTAATTGATAAATAGTAGTATATTTGTTTATGATTGTTTAAATTTATTCTTGATGTCTTTAGCTTGTTCAGTTTCTATTGTACACACTCTCTGTCCCCTCTCTCTCTCTCTGCTCTCGCTCTCCGCCCCCCTCTCTCTCTCTCTTTGTATCCTTTTTTTAAAAAAAGAACAACTATATACCCATATATTTTCTCCATGATACCTGTGTAATAATATTGTACATATATAATGAATATATATATACTTGTTAATGTATATTATGATTTCTTATCATTAATAATGTTTCATTTCGTTTTTTAAAACATTTATGTATTACCATTTGAACATGTTGAGTAAATGAATGATTTGTATACCTACCATGAAATCAATCCATCGTTATCATCATTATCATCATTGACAATGTTATGTTTTTTAATGGTTATACATTGAGAATCATTATAGATCTAATTCATAGCTAATGATGATCTTTCCTTTATATATAAAGAAAAGTCATATTAGCCTACATCATTATTAATGATAGTAGTAGTAGTAGTAGTAGTAATAGCAGTAGTATATATAGTATTCTCATAAGAAACTACTTGTTCATATATATTTCTCATTATTGTTAAGAAATGAAACCAAAAAAAAAATTACAACATAAATGGAACACATTTGAATAGTAAATTAGTTTGGTTTGTTTTGTTTGTTTTTACCTAAATCTGTAGTTTCACTCTCTCTCTCTCTCTCTCTTATCATCTAATATGGATGATATCGGTGTCCTTATGAACTTTCCTTCTTACAACAACACCGAATAGTAATAATACAATACTAGTTCTACTATAATTAATTTGAATATTTCAATAAAAGAATACAGATATATGTATCATCATTATTATGAATCTTGTTATAACACACAAATACATATACATGTATATATGCATAAACCTTAATACTGTACTACCTTGTAGATTATTGTGTACAACACTATCAATCAAAAATGACTGAACACAATTTATTTCTCTCTTTCAATTTTTCATGTATTTCATTGTGTTTTAGTTTTATGTTCACATAATTATGATCATCTATCTACTATGTAGTTTCTATCCTATTTCTATAAGTAAGTTTATTCTTATAATAACTACAAAGTATAATAAGAAAAAAAGAAAGAAAGAAAGAAGAAGAAAAAAAGAAGAACTTGTACATGAAAGAAAAAAAGAGAAAAGGATGTTTCTTCTATGTTTGTCAGTGTATATGACTGTAACCCTAAGAGAACATGATGAAGTTGGCTATTGTTAATTACAATGTTGATTAGAATGGTTTAAGTTAATACACATATATACATATCAACACACATATAACTTTCTAATGGTTAGTTGAATAAATAAATATGCACAATTCAATAAGAATAATAAAGTGTGACGTTTTTTTTGGTTTTTTTTTTGTTTGTTTGTGGTCAAATTCTCAAAAAACAAAAAAAAAATTTATCCTAAAGTAAACAGTTGTTTACATTTATTAAAATTTTTTCTCTCTTTTTTTTCTTTGTTCTCTTACCTTAAAATGAAATAAACACAACAACGAAATAATAAATAAACAAATAAATTAATGTGTGTGCATATTGTGAAGAGAAAGAGCGGATGGTGGTGGTGGTGGTCGGGGGGGGGAACAAATACTACATTGTATATGAAACAATACTTTATTTGGTTCTAAATGTATCCTATCTTAGGATACTAGTGAAATATTGGATATTGAACAAGAAACTTGTCAATTGTTCGGATAATTTATAATCAGGACATATATATATATATATATATATATATATATATATATATATATATACAACATATTTATATTTATACATGTTTACCCAAATAAAAAGGAACATTTATTTACTTATTCATTTAAATATATAAATTTTGGCACAAAGAGACACCAAATAGGATCATTCGATTTATGTGAGGGCTATGGTATTACCCGGGTGCTTAAACTGAAACAGGTGATTTTCTTAGGAGGCCACACCACGAGTCTTTGACCTAAAGATCTAATCCCTAAGACAGTGGAGCAACATCAAGAGATACAGTCCCATGGTACATGGTGATTAACGATTGGTTCATATGCCATTTGTTCCTTCAGGATACTGGAGCCCATGTGCACCAATGGTTTGAAATCAGTGATTTCCAACTCCCCTAGGTGGAATCTCTGTGTCCACCAACCGGGTTTGATCGCCGGTTATTCGCTTTTCGTCCTTTCAATTTTGTAAACAACAGTAGTGCCACGAGAAGGGAGTGATTAGGACATCTTTGGTTGTGGTTGTATGCACGTAGCCATATAAAAGCATTTCGAGGGGGAGAACCAACTCTCCCTCACCACTCTCGGTTGTACCAGGGCATTTGGGGGTGTAAACGAACATTATATATATACATATTTTTCTGTCTATACAATATGTACAAAATAACTAAGATTGTTTTCGTAAAGGTTTATTTAAAAATTAACTTGTAGAAAGCAGAAAAAATGTTTCCTTCACTACTGACCTGATCTAAATACAAACTTTGTAAGTGACATTTTTTCAATGATTATTAATTGTTATTTCATGAAAAATAATTTCATTAGTTGAGATCATGAGTCAGTTGAAGCTAAACCATTATAGAAAACCTAAAAGCACTGAACAGCCGTTTCATCCTATTATAGGACTCATTAGCAATGTGCATCCACGATCCCACCTTGTCAGATTCGAACCTAGGACCTATAGGTCTCACACGCGAATGCTTAACCTCTAGACCACTAAACTTGCTGTTGAGAATACAGCCAATACCAGAGAAGTCCTACCGATTGCTATCTCGAGGCATTACTTTTGTTTACAAAATTGAAAGGACGAAAAGCGAATATCCGGTGATCAAACCCGGTTGGTGGACACAGAGATTCCACCTAGGGGAGTTGGAAAACACTGTTTTCAAACCATTGGTGCACATGGGCTCCAGTATCCTGAAGGAACAAATGGCATATGAACCAATCGTTAATCACCATGTACCATGGGACTGTATCTCTTGATGTTGCTCCACTGTCTTAGGGATTAGATCTTTAGGTCAAAGACTCGTGGTGTGGCCTCCTAAGAAAATCACCTACTTCGGTCTGGGCACCCGGGCAGTATCACTGTTTACACACAAATCAAGTGACTTGTGTGGTGCATATGTATTCCGTGCCTCTTCATACTAGTATTTATTTGTTCAAATAAATAAATAAATACTGATTGAATTCTATCCAGCAAACTGGAATAGTATTAATTGTTCTATATTGTAGCCATCATAATGTAATCCTAGACGATCTACTCGGCCAGACTAGCTCAGTGGTTATCACTCTGACTTTAACGTTAGATGACGCGTGTTTAAATTTGATTAGGAGCATCATTTCCCTCAAGACTATAGATAACTTTGTTGACGTGAGCTAACTAGCGAGAAACTCAGGTAAAGCAGGGTTACTTAATGATTCTGTTTCACTAAGTTACTTAAGTAAATTAGAATATTAGTTTGTATCTATGTTTTATTGAATAAAAGCTTGATGTTTAAAGAGACAAACCATTGGTGCATACTAACGATGGTATCTAATAATAACACTAGTTAATTGATCACACACTGCCACTCTTTTATAATAAATCGATCAGTATTCAATATCAGTTATGATTTGTTTTTCTTTGAACTTACCAGGTTGTGTTTGAATTCGGAAATTCTGTGTTGCCATTGACAACTGAGCAGCTGATAAACTATTATTTACTCCTGTTGATGCATTGTTATTATTAAAATGGAGATTTGCTGACATTGTAATAGCTTCATTTTGTTTGCGTAAATCAGACGACTTTTTCGATAAATTTGATCCAGTATTACATTGTTTCCCACCGACTTCACTGGAACTGTTCCCACCACTACTATTCATTTGATTACTGGATGATAGTTTCGGGATTTTGGCGTTTGGTGTATCTAAATGACTTGGTGCACGAGAATTGCTCTTTTTGCTTGAAGAATAAGATGATGACTTGGAGCATGACAACTGTTGTATTTGTTTGTTATTGTTACTGTTATTATTACTAGTAGTAGTGGCAATGTTACTGGAACTTTCAACTTGAGATAATTGACTAGATTTTAGAGGTCCATTCAAATTTCCTGTTAATACTCCGTAATTGTTTGTTTCAGGCGTTTTTATGCCACCACACTGTAAACCAGCAGCCGCGGCAGCGGCAGCAGCCCATAACTGTTGGCATGCCACCTGGAGATTTTATAAAAGAAAAGCACAACCAACATTACGTTTAGTCATTATTTATAGAAATGGTAACTAAATACCTAAATATTAATTTGAGATTTCGGTTAACCGAAACTTTAGGTAGAAGCTGCGTGAACAAAGTTGGTAGTAGGAAAACTCATAATCTTCATTCCCGCATGTGAGATCGCGAGTATGCACTGCTGAGGAAACCCATGGGACGAAGTGACCGTCTAGTACTCGCTGGTCTTCATTGGTGGTCTGACTTAGATCGATTCATGATTTAAATATGATCTTCATTTAGAGTTAAATAAGAAATTTACTTTAGTACAATAAATGACTCCATACATATATGCACCAATGAAGCACAATACTCACATCTGTGACAATATTGACGTCACTTGTTATTACGTTATTGAGGTGCACGAGATTATTGCAACAAGTTATTGGAAAATTTGTGCAACTGCTCAGAATCGGTCACAAAATCCCAGATAGATTCATTCTCAGTCTTCTTGCAGCTATTGAGTTTTAAAACTATTTTATAATTTTTATTCCACGGATTCTCTCAGTCTTTTCAGATTACATCGTCTGTCCTTATCCTTTCCTACTATCACTGATATTATTGTAGTGAACGAGAATACATGCGAGGACAACCAATTGTATTTCAATACAACATTACAGAATATTTTGGTTAAATCTGAGGACCATAAAGTAATACTTCATTTGCAGATTATCCATCAATTGTCTCAGATTTTGTTGTTCTTTCGTTTTCATAACAATCACTTTCTGTTCTCGTTCTCTTCGATTTTCTTGACCGTCTGCTTCTAGGCATTCCACTTTCTACTGGTGATACATACTATTAATATCTGTCAACATCAGTAGCACACACCACACTATTACTACTTCTACTACTCGTGCACATATCGTGAAAGTTTTATATGGTCGTGGTGACATAATGTAGAAACTTGAAATGATGAATATTTGTCACAGGTTCTATGTTGCTTATGACTGATTGATTGACTGATCACTCCTCTATCAATCAAAAGTTCTTCAGTTTGATCTTCTGCTTATATTTTATCATCTTTAACTTCAATAGATCTCTATAAACTACCTATCCAAATATTAATCCATTTATGGCGATACACCTGAATGAGATATGTTGTACTTTTTTAAAATCTATTATAACCTAGACAATGTATCCATCATTTATGAAATTCAGTATTGGTATATACATCTTTTTGTATTTGTGCAACTAAGATATAATTCCCATATCATACAATTATTAGCAAAGACGGATAGTGGCTAGCAGTGGAATCCCGGAAGCTTGTTTCGTCCTATTCGGGACTCGTTGGCTGGATGTACTTGCATCTCAGAACTGATGTTCACTCTGGGACACGGACCCAGTATCGTTCGCTTCAAACGCCATCTTGTTATCCACTTAGCTAACAAGAGAATGATTAATTACAGTCCTAAATAACAATGGGAAGATACAAGTAAATAACACCAAGTGAATCATACAATTATCATTTTAAATTCTTTATTTTACACAATAAAACAAACCTGTGCAGCTGTTTTAATATTTGAATCTTCACTTTCGAAAGCGAAGTTTGTTTGTTGTAATCTGTTACTATTATTAATAGTATTATTTGTTCCAGTTAGTTCACTTTTATTCACTTCTACTGGTGGATTCGATTTACATGTTAATTCTATGTTTTCATTATGAATATCAGAACAATCAGTATGTAATAAAGTATCATCATCATCCCCATCGTTGTTATGATGGTCATCATCATCACCATCAGAGGCAGTAGAATCTTTATGATGATGATGATGATGACGAGGATTATTTACTTTTCGATCAGTTTCATTGAAATTGTTCAACAGATTGTCTTTACCACCCTTTTGAATAAATCGTTCATCTGAGTGCAAAGCAATTAATTCATTTTCATCATTATTATAATATTGTAATTTACTATTCAACTTTTCATGATCTAACGGCATAAGTGAGGATCTGGGATCACTATCTATGTATGAAGTACCTTTAGAATGAAATTTAAAAAAGAAACAATAATCAAATCATTCCAATCATTCATAAATTAAAGATTTTGTCAAATTATTGTTTGAATGAACTAAAATACCGAAATATAATAGAAGCGGGAATTTCGAAAGTTTTAAACTGATTAATCCTCATTTAACCTTGAATTATATTATACATTCGCGCGTGAGACCGAAGGCTCTGGGTTCGAATCCCGCGAGCGGGATCGTGGATGGGCACTGCTGAGAAGTCCCACAATGGGGCGAAACGATCGTTCAGTGCTTCCAGGTTTTCAGTGGTGGTCTAACATCAATTGGTTCACGATCTCAACCAAGAACGTAATAATCTCCACAACCTCATAATGATAACAAACAAATTTATTCGTGTGTGCTAAAAATGTGCCATTGTTGATTTTCAAAAAATGAATTTGCTTAAATTGGGAATCAAAAGGTTTTATCAAGGCAATCCACCCATAATGAACATTTCCCAACAAAGATTGATTGAAATTCAGTTAATACAATAAACAATGGGTTAATATCATCCTTACAAATAAACATTGTCCTCATTGAATAAGTTAATGACTATCTGGACTTTATAGATATATGGTTAGATAGTTGTCATTTGAAGTGAAATATACTCGGATCAGTTCTTAGTTTGAAAATAAACAAACTAGTATGTAAGTACATAGTATTGACAATTTCTAAATGGAACTAACACACACATCTATCCTAGATTCTACTGTTAACCTTAATCTACATATAAAGTTATTAATAAATAGTATTTATTCATTTTTCTTTAGATTTCATTCGTTTGATTGTATCGATCAAAGGGAGATTAAGTTTTAAAAAAACTCATGTACTACAGAGGTATTAATAATCCACCTAGGGGAGTTGGAAAACACTGATTTCAAACCAGTGGCATATATGAGCTCCAGGATCGTGAAGGAACAAATGTCATATGAATCAATCGTTGGTCACCGGGTACCATGGAACTGCATCTCCTGATGTTGCTCTACTGCCTTGGGGATTGGATCTTTAAGTTAAAGGCTCGTGATGTAGCTCCATAAAAAACCACATGCTTCGGTTTGAGCACCCGGGCAGTATTCCAGCCCTCACACAAATGAATTATTTATGTGGCGCATATCTGTTTGATGCCTCCTTGTATTAATGCTTATGTGTTTAAATAAATAGATAATTCAACAGTTCAAACCTGAACTCTGTTTACGAAAAGTAGCATATAGAATCTTATTCTATAATATATAAAATGAAATATTTATTGAATAAAATACATCACTTCAAATTACCTTTCTCATCTAAATTGATTAGGTTAGTTTCATTTGCTGTTAAATTTAATGGTAAACTTGAAGTGAATTGACAATCATCATTATCATGTAGGGTTAATTTATTCTAATAACAAAGATAGAAATATAGAATGGAAAATTATTTTTAAAAATATTATCAATGTTCTTATTTATACATAAATATCAAAAGGGGTTTTGTGGATATTAAACTAATTTCAATGATTGAAATCATGAGTCAATTGAAGCTAGATCACCATGGAAAACCTGGAAGCACTTGACGGCCGTTTCGACTTATCGTGGGACTCCTCATCAGTGCGTATCCATGATCTCGCCACCCCCAGCGAGATTCGAACTCAGGACCTATCAGCCTTGCGCGTGAGCACTTAACCACTAGACCACTGAACCACTCAGCATCCAACGGGTGTTAATGTCTAACTTCAACTAATCCACGAAATTGAGCAACACATTCACCATTGTCTTCAGTGAGTTACTATCTCACAACTGATACGGTTGAACTCCACTGGTCACTGCTACTCACTAGAACTTCATGAAATACCTCTTGAAGCCAGTCACTGGTGAGCATGTGTTGATTAATATCAGAAGGGGTTTTGTAGATATTATAGTAATTTCAACTGACTCATGATCTCAACCATTTAAATTATACATAAATAACTGCTATTAGGTTCTTTTAAAGTTCTACATAATCTTACTTGTATTTCTTGCTATTCAAACTCAATTAGTAATATGAAAACTGACAGACTATAATTGATTATGTAAACTATTCAATGCTGGCTCATCATCATTCTAAAGGTTAAATGTCCATAATGAGACATGAATGTCATAGGTTTAATTCCTTTTGGTTCATGAATGGTCATTGTTAAAGAGTTTCATATTAGAACAAAATAGCTATCTGATGCATCCTAATAATCTATCTAAGATCAATCCATAATGTGCACTATAAGATTCATTAATCTCCACAATCACTCTATATAATTAATAATTATATGCTCACTAGTGACTAATTTCAAAAGGTAACTCTCTTGGAGTTCTAGTAAGAAGCAGTTAGTTATTTATTGATTTGAATTCTAAATAGGTAGTTTGTTTAAATCTTTGGGTTACCTCATCAATAATTATGAACACGGTGGATCTGATGCAGATGTGAAGGCGCGGATCGGCAAAGCAAGAACAGCATATTTGCAATTGAGGAACATCTGGAACTCAAAGCAACTGTCAACCAATACCAAAGTCAGGATTTTCAATACAAATGTTAAGACAGTTCTACTGTATGGTGCAGAAACCTGGAGAAAGCCATCATCCAGAAAATACAGGTGTTTATTAACAATTGTCTACGCAAAATACTTCAGATCCGTTGGCCGGACACTATTAGCAACAACGTACTGTGGGAGAGAACAAACCAGATCCCAGCGGAGGAAGAAATCAGGAAGAAGTGCTGGAAGTGTATAGGACACACATTGAGGAAAGCACCCAACTGCGTCACAAGACAAGCCCTCATATGGAATCCTCAAGGCCAAAGGAAAAGTGGAAGACCGAAGAACACATTACGCCGAGAAATGGAAATAGACATGAGAAAAATGAACAAGAATTGGATGGAACTAGAAAAGAAGGCCCAGGACGGAGTGGGTTGGAGAATGCTAGTCGGCGGCCTATGCTCCATTGGGAGTAACAGGCGTAAGTAAGTAAGTAAGTAAGTAAGTAATCAATAATTATGTAACACGTTTTTCAGTGTACTTTTTTAATTAACTTTACTTTAACCAACAGTAACTGCATTGTTTACTTAAATACTTGAATAGAAAGTTCACAATTGATCATCATATTAAAGTTAACTGAAGACATCTTATGGTTGGTATATTTTTCACTTGCTTTATTATCTACCAGAATAAGTTACAAATATATTTGGTTTGATGTTTATAAATCGAAAGAAAAATCCATGGATATTTTAGAAGGATAGAACTAGGCCAAAACTTGTGCAATTGAAGAAGAGTAACAGTTACCAAACATTGTAAATGTATCTCTTATTATATGTGACTTAAATATGTTCACTTTAAAATGTAAATTATAATCATTTAATGACATGTCATTATTTGTACTGATGTTTACATGCCGTATCAAATATGATATTACACTATTAAACAAAACACAATCTGTTTCTCTAATACTTACCTTGGACCTCAACCCACTAGATGTATTACTTTCATTTGTATCGATCAATACATTATTGGGATTTGAATGATTCGCTTGATTTCGCAGATTACTTAATATGGGAAATTTAAGACATCCATCTGATTGGTTAATTAAAGATGAATTATTTACAATATATGAATTGTTTAATGTCGTCGCTGTAGTTGTTAATGATGGTGTATTTATTGATATCGTTGTTTGTAATGACAGTGGCAACGATGGTGGTGTAGCTGTAAAAGCTCCAGGTAGTGTAGGAAATCCTGCACCAAACAACGTTGCCGCTGCTGCAGCTGCTGCTGCCATAGCATTAGGATCAGTAAAATTATTTGGTATACCAGGTAAAATAGTTCCTGGTTGTATAGATGATGATGAAGACGTTATGAATGGATCATCGGAATTATTTAATGATGTATTGAAACCTTGAAAATGTGATCCAATTATGGAAAAATTTGGACCAGATACCATTGATGGTAATAAATGTGGTGGGAATAAATTCACTGGATTATTCCCCATTTGATTGGAAGGAACTGTTGCTGACGCTGTTGTAGATGATGAGATTGTAGATGATGGTTGAAGTCCTAATCCATCTGTAGGTAATGATCCTGTTGGTATAGTAAGAAATGGATTAAATTGCCCAAATTGGGTATTAAATCCTAAATTATTCGTACAAAATGATGTTGAACCTGTTGGAATATTGGATAATAATTGATTTACATCAGAATTAGTCCCATTAGGAAATCCTAATGAATTAGGATATACAATGGAATTAGATAATGAAGGATTTACACCTAATGGAGATGGTGAATTTGGCATGGTATTCGATGTTGTCATCGTATTAGGAGTGGTAGTCGTTGTTATTGTTGTTGTTTGTAGATTTCCTGTCGTCGTCGTACTGACTGGTGAAGTAGAACGTGATGTATTTGGTGGATTCATTATAGGATAATCAAATGTATAAGAACTACGTCTAGCTTCACGTCGATTACCATCAATTGCAGCTTGTAATTCATTTGGTGAACTTAATCCAAGTGTTTCACATTCATATGGGTATAAATATTTCATATATCTAAATATGTTAAATAATTGTAATAACAGGGTATATTAGAGTCTATTTATGAAATAAATAAATGTGTTACGTAATAATAACTGTTTCAAATATAATCAAAATTAATCTAATTTGTTTCTACCTAATTATCTTTTATTGTTCCTAAGTGAATTTCTAAAACATTGAAGTACAGATGATGAAAACATCTAAGTTGACAGTGGAGTGTTTGTTATTGGCTTTGATGGAGTATAAAAACTATAGAAAGACAAAGAAGTAGGAGTTTTTGAATTTCTATTGTGTTGGAATTTATGTATTCAATATAATAAACAAGAAACTCTCAATATCAGAAGGGGTTTTGTGGATATTAAACTAATTTCAATGGTTGAGATCATCATTCAATTGAAGCAAGACCACCATGGAAAACCTGGAAGCACTGAATGGCCGCTTCGTCCTGGCATGGGACTCCTCAGCAGTGTGCATCCACGAGCTCACCGCCCCCCGCGGGATTCGAACCCAGGACCTACAGGTCTTGCGCGCGAGCACTTGACCATTAGACCACTGAGCCGGTATCCAGAGGTGTTAATGTCTAACTTCAACCAATCTACATACATTTATATTATTAACATGATTGTTATTTTTATTACTATATAATTCATTACTTACTGTGTTCTTAATGTAAATGCAGCACTTGTAATTGATGAAGGCAAATTTAAACCTTTAGTTATTTCACGCCATAATTTTTTATTAATCACTTCAACTAGACCCCCACGTGCAACAACTAATTGAAATAGTTCATATAAATCCAAGACTTGTTTAGCCATAATTGGTATTCGATTAACTGGTGTACCTGTTTATTTTAAAAATAAAAGTAAAAATTAAGGTAATATCAAGGTAATACTTACAGTATACACATATAATATACTAATAAGAGACTGATCAATTGCAGTCTGAAACATCAGTGAATAGATTCAAGTAAAATAATACCAAGTGAATTTCAACTTCATCCCATTGTACAAGCAAGTGGATATGAGAACTCAGTAGTTAAGTGGATAACACGACAGCACTTGAAGTGAATGGTACTAGGTTCGAGTCACAGAGTGAACATCAACTCTGAGATGCAGGTACATCCAGCTGACGAGTCCTAAATAGGACGAAACGTGGGTCAAACTCGATTCTACTGCTAGCCACTATCCATCTTTGCTTGTAAATAATACTTTAGTTGAAACGATTTTGAGAAGATTGGCTTAATTTATTATTTGTATTTATTACAAATTAATTTCATTTGGTCTACCATTGAAATCTATCGAGCATTGTGTAGTTGTTTTTTCCTAATATGAAATACTTTAGCATTGAGCACTTATGATTTCATTGGGGAGGGGTCGAATTCAAGATATATTCGGGTCTCTTGATAAACCTTCTAACGAATAGAATCACTTGCTCGACATCCATTTGTATGATTTCAATTTCAGTCAATCTTTGTTAATGCTTTTGGTATGCATTACTGAAATGTCCTACACTAGAAAGTAATAGCTGTCCTGTAATGTTTAATTTTTAACACTATAAAAAAAAGGAAGCAACAGTAAACATAATAAGACAATCTTTAGAAAAAAATCGATTTTTATTCCTCAGTTTCAAGTTCATATATGTTGACGTCCGGATGACTTTCTTTCTAGCCAGCGTGTTACTAATAGCTAAAATTTTATGAATGAGGGATAATTCCACACCTCTAATCTAATAAAAGATAAACTGAATATATATATATAAGCTTTTCTACCATAAGTGATACTTTTCCCCATGGTAAACATTTTAAAGTTATATCAAACATAATGAATAATATTTAGTGTCAAGTGACTTTAAGCAACAACTCATTTCAGTTACTTAATTTCTATCAGAGTGTATAGAAAGTGATATAGCAATACAAAGTAGATAATCTTATATCCATCTCTACCCTATCTGATATCTTGTTGTGAATATCAGTTTAATTTGTCTTTCGGTTAAAATAATATAGCTAAAATATTTTAAGCAGAGTTGGATAGCAACTGGCACATTTCATATGCCGGCGTTTATTTAGACTCAGTAGCTAAGTGAATCTTGGAGTGAAAGGTGTTGACTTCGAATCCCATGGTGAACGTCAACTTAAATGAGATGGACCCAGTTGATGAGTCTCAAATGGAATGAAACACATGCCCTGGATTCTAATATCAGCCACAATTCAACTATGCTGAAAATGCTTATGAATTGATGACGATACTGAGGTAATCCACACAGGATCCACATATGCCAAAAGAGACTGACCAATCACAACTCTAAATATAAGTGGGAAGATCCAAACAATACTTGACTAGATGATATTTACAGTTAAATAACTGGCTGATCGTCTTATATTCATGGCCTACCACTTATATATGAAGTTAAAGTTTTCATAAGAACATCAACACTTTAAGAAATATGGATATATTTAGACTAAGTTAGAAATGGAACATTAAATTCTTATCTTAGATTCCACTATGAAGTGCTTTTCAACAAATTCAAAGGTAATCTAACTGTACATATAGTTCATAATATATGGAAAAACTAAGAGTTCATCACAATTAGGGTAAAGTGATAAATTAATCAATTACATTCTGACGTATAACAATCAGAAAGCCCACTATTCAATAAGTAGTATAAACAATCATTTACCAGTGGAAATCATTCCATATAATTCATTCATTGATTTAAGTCTGATTTTTTTTACTTAAGGCATCATTTCTATGTCACAAGTACAAATAAAATAAGGCTTATGATTGGAGGTAGTCATTGACGAATTCTTTAGTTAAACTACATGTTAAGTGACATTCTTCAGTAAGATGTATCTATGATTTTCAATGAAGTGAGGCTCTCTGTCGGATTTTGAACTCAGGTTAACCATATTCACAATTTACCAATGGACCTAATAGACATTTTTTGTAATGATTTTTTTTAAGTTTAACTCAACTCATTACTAAAATGTAACATCGTTTCATCCACTCCGAGATTAATCATTCTTAGTTTTGAATATCACTAATGGGATAATTCAAACCCTTAAGCATAAACATGACTCCTATTGAACTTAGTAGCTTAGTTGATAACATTTTGGAGCTATAAGCGAAAGGTATTGGGTTCAAATCTCAATGTGAACAATAACACACTTGTATTTAGGTACATCTAGTTAACAAATCATAAACAGCGATATCCACTTATTGTAGATTCTACTATCAACTACAATCCAAATATATATAATAAAAACTTTTTAGACTGTTCCTAAATTGAGATTAGATAGCGGTTGGAGGTAGTCGACAAGTAACCCTGGACCCGGTTTTCGTGCTCTTTGGCACTCGTCAACAAGGTGTACCTGTAATCTTTAGGGAACTGATGTTCCCTGACAGATTCGATTTCATATCACCTAGCTTCACAGTTAGAAACGTTACCACTGAGCTATCCGGGCCGCGACTAACCTGTAGGACTGAGATGTAATCACAATTGATTAATCACTGTGTGGTGATCAATGTCATGTGTGTCAAGTCCTTATTTTAGTGCAGATCGAATGCTGTCGACCATGATGCAATGTGGCCACCAGTCTAGGTGACTCGACGCTGCGTGCACTATATACTGAGATTAGATGGTGGTAGTGTCGAGTCACCTAGACTGGTGGCCACATTGCATCATGGTCGACAGCATTCGATCTGCACTAAAATAAGGACTTGACACACATGACATTGATCACCACACAGTGATTAATCAATTGTGACTGTTCCTAAATGTTATGATAAATGAATGATGGGACAATATTTAAATCTTAATTTTTTTATATTTTTGGAATGAATCTAGAAACGATATACATTTACTGCACTACATACAATTACACATACACATATTATCTGTTTAAGTCTAATTGATTACTATATTTATATTCAAATAACTGATTTTATTATTTCCTAGATGTACATGTAGTGAACAAGAATGCCAGTGGGGACAATTGAATGTAATTGAGCACAAAATTACAGGGCATCTCAATAAAATCTGAGAACCATATAGTAATTCGTGAATTTTCCAAAATATCAATCCATCATATCAAACTTGACTGTTCTTTTGCAAATATCAGTCCATTGTCTCAGATTTCATTGTTCATTCCTTTTCATACCAATTGCGTTCCATTTTCCGTCCTTTCCTCATCGATCTTCTGCTGAAATACATTCTATGTTTGACTACCGTTATATACTACTTATGTGGATATCAGTAACCCACACCACATACCTACATAAAAGCGTGTTTTCCATAAAGGGAAAAGTGGGTAACTTTGCATTTGAAAAAGATTTGAATAAATAGTAATGAGAAGTTTATTTCTGAATGCTTTAACATTCATCTACTCAAACTAAATCACCACTGTTTTCTTGTAGTACATGGATACATGATCCTTAAGTTTTTTTTAAATATTTTATTGTTTCATTTTTCGATTGTAATTAATTTCAGTTTCTATATTCACCCGTATTATAAACATGGCTTATTGATAAGATAAAGATGAACATAATATTAGTAAAATAGATAAATATACATACATATGGATATCCATGTGTGAACAGACTGATATACTATAAATAGATCAATGTCAGACCACCAGTGAAAACCTGAAAACACCATATGACTATTTCGTCCTAGTACAGGACTCCTGAGCAGTTTGCATTCACGATTCCGCATGCGGAGCTCGAACCCGGGGCAGTGGTGAGAGGTCGAGCAATATCGTTCATCTAATGAAGTTAGACATTAACACCATAGGATACTAACTCAGTGGTCTAGAGGTTAACCATTCGTGCGCGAGACCAAAAATCCTGGGTTTGAGTCCCGCGTGCAGGATTGTGAATACGCACTGCTCAGAAGTCCCATACCATGACGAAATGGTCATCTAGTGTTTCCAGGTTTTCAATGGTGATCTAACATTGATTCATTCATGATATCGGTCTAAAATCAACAATCTCTATCAACCTTATACTAATACTACATATAAGCAAATTTATATCTGTTGGTATCTTTTGTCTCAAACTATCCTAGTTTGATAGTTCTCAACAATGTGTATCTACAATTTTATCATGTCTCATGTCTGATGAGGATCATATTAACTTTAAACGACTGAATAAAAATTCAATAATCATATATTGCTGAAGAGCATAAAACTACAGTGATTAAATTGTTACAGTCTTATTTCTTTTCTATTTTCAATAGTCAATTAACTGATTTCTATTTAAAATAAACTGTAATGAAATAATCATTGAGATTTATTTAATCATTATTAATAGGCTGATGGACAGCCTATACTCCTCCACGAGGAGTAACAGCCGTAAGTAGTAGTAGTAGTAGTAGTAGTAGTAGTAGTAGTAGTAGTAGTAGTAGTAGTAGTAGTAGTAGTAGTAGTAGTAGTAGTAGTAGTAGTAGTAGTAGTAGTAGTAGTAGTAGTAGTAGTAGTAGTAGTAGTAGTAGTAGTAGTAGTAGTAGTAGTAGTAGTAGTAGTAGTAGTAGTAGTAGTAGTAGTAGTAGTAGTAGTAGTAGTAGTAGTAGTAGTAGTAGTAGTAGTAGTAGTAGTAGTAGTAGTAGTAGTAGTAGTAGTAGTAGTAGTAGTAGTAGTAGTAGTAGTAGTAGTAGTAGTAGTAGTAGTAGTAGTAGTAGTAGTAGTAGTAGTAGTAGTAGTAGTAGTAGTAGTAGTAGTAGTAGTAGTAGTAGTAGTAGTAGTAGTAGTAGTAGTAGTAGTAGTAGTAGTAGTAGTAGTAGTAGTAGTAGTAGTAGTAGTAGTAGTAGTAGTAGTAGTAGTAGTAGTAGTAGTAGTAGTAGTATTTA